TTAAGGGAGTTTAATCCCCGACCTAGGATCAAAAACTCTCCCAAACCCACGTACCAAACATGGCCTTGGTCCTTTGAGTTCAAGAATTTTAGCCTGAGTCCTGACAAATGAAAATGTCTTATTTTATCGTTTTTATTGAAAAATATAACTAAACATTATAATTAGAATGTTCCTATGAAAATAATTTTTTAGCTCCATCCTCGATACGAGGTTTGGGATTTAAAGTTCCCCATTGATTAACTGCATTGCACTCCCTTACCCTTAGATTAGTTTGCATAAAATTACAGCTTCTCAAAATAAAATAAAATAAAACCTCTAATGGTTTGATTTGTGAAAAATCAAATTTTCAAAACTTTCGTGAAAAATTTAGAACCGATTTACTAAATAATCTTTTGTTAATTAGCTCAATTCTTTTCAACAAAATGTAAGAAAATAAAGTATGCAACACCTTACCTCACTTGCATGGAGAGAAAATGTTTCCGTGACTTGAACCACGACTTCAAAACATTAAAACATCTCGGACATGAAAAATATTCAACTGTCTACTATAAATAGCATGTTGGGTCTGAATTTTTTTTGGGCGAATTACATTCAGATTCCTTTAGATTTTTAACTTAATCACTTAAATTCTTTGACATTTAAAATATTACATACAGATCCGCTGAAATTTGTACATGTGTAATACTCCCTTCATTCCTAAATATCTGCCGTTTTATATAATTTTTTTTGTTTCATAATATCTATCGTTTTATGAAACCAAAGTATAATAAATATTTTTTTTTTCTAAATTTACCTTTATCTCTGTTTTTTAATAAGTCCTTAATAGATTAAGTGTAAGTTAAGTATCTTTCATATTCCGTTCTTTCTCAATACATATTGAATAAGGTATTTTAGTCTTGTGTAATTATTTTTTACTCATATTAGAACTATTTAATAGTTTTTTTAATCCCTGTGTAAAAACCTTAAACGATATATATTTAAAAACGGAGGAAATATTTAAATCCCTACCATCAATGTCTGTTAGTAAATTATACCCCAACTCTCTGAACTTTATAGGTGTGTACTACTTAGACCTCTAAAGTTTAAAATATTACACTTAAACTCCTTATTAGTTACAAAATTAACGGAATCTATTAAAAGATAAAAGATATTGTGTCTATTACAGTTTAACCCCTTGTATTTTTTTTTATTTTATTCCAATAGATAATATAATTGTATACTAATTATGATTTTTTAAAGAAAAAATTAGATTTTTGATTTTTGATTTTATTTCAATAAATGATATAATAGAACAAAAATTTTAGTTGCAAAATTTAAAATATTTAATATTCTTTCTTTGATTAAAGTATTTTTTGTCTAAGTATAATATTTTAAAATTGAGGGGTCTAAATATTACAAGTTTACAAAATTTATAGAGTTTAGGTATAATTTAAAATATTACACTTAAACTCCTTATTAGTTACAAAATTAACAGAATTTATTAAAAGATAAAAGATATTGTGTCTATTACAGTTTAACCTCTTGTATATTTTTTTTTAAATTTTGTTCCAATAAATAATATAATTGTATACTAATTATGATTTTTTAAAGAAAAAATTAGATTTTTTATTTTTGATTTTATTTCAATAAATGATATAATATAACAAAAATTTTAGTTGTAAAATTTAAAATATTTAATATTTTTTATTTGATTAAAGTATTTTTTGTCTAAATATAATATTTTAAACTTGAGGGGTCTATATATTACAAGTTTACAAAATTTATAGGGTTTAGGTATAATTTACTAACTGATATACTAACGGATATCAACGATAATATTTTAAATGTTAAGAGATATAAGTAATTAAGTGACAAACTTTAATTCATCTAAGTGTAATTCTCCTTTTTTGTTTTTTTTTTTTTTTTTATTTACTTTCATTTTTCCGTATGTCACATGATTTTGTAAAGCAACCCTATATTAATGCCGATCTGTAAATAGTAAAGAGGCAACGTCAAGGCTGTACCCAATTTGAAGCTTAAATAGCCTTATTTAGTACACTGCACCTAAAAACTGCAGGATCTGTCCCACCTTCCCTCCCATCATTTAATGTGGTGGATGGGAGCTAATGGCAGCAGTATTGAATATGGTGGACCAAGATCCACGGGGCTTTTTATAAGAGAATCTCATGGTGTCGAAAAAAAAAAGAATCAATACCTGATCAGCTGTCTGATTTTGCTGATTAGCTCTCACGTCTAAGTGACGTTGGGTTTGTATTACTTAATGCTAGTAATCCTGGGTATTTATTATTGGGAATATCTAATTGGACCCCACTTATGAACAATTAATTTTGATATAACTTTAGAACCTTTTTTAAGTGCTATAAGAACATTATTTATTACATAAACGTGATCAATTTTATCATATCAGTTTCATAATATAGTTTATCAGACGTGTTAAAACATTTGGAACAAATAAACCTTAACGAATGATCATTGTTCGAGAATAGACGAGAATCTTTTACAATAGATTTGATTTATGTGAAAAGCAAAGTTGCATTTTTGTTTCGTAGAAACCACTCATGACAGTGTTGAAGCAAATCGTTAACAAAGATTCACATGACTAGCAATCAAATTGGCCAATACCATCCATCCGTTCACTCACTTTGTCCATTGTCATCTATAATCATTTGTTGTGGTTAAAAAAACAACATTGAGCCGCCTGATTTCCTTTTTTTTTATTTTCTTTTGTTGACAAGAAACAAACTTTTATCTGGGATAAATAAAGGGTACAAGTAAAGAAATCTACCCCTCACAAGACATCTTACCAAAGACCTAACCTCAACAAAATTTCTTTCAACAATTTTTTTTTTTTTAAAAGGTCAGAGATGTTCGGGTCAATTGACACACATCTCAATTAATTTTTTCTTTTGTCCAGTCAAAGACAAGTCATACGTCGAAATTAAAAATTCATAAAGAATAAATACATCATAATCCTTTTGAATTTTCAACCCAACACCACGACGGTCCACACAATGGCCTCGAATTTGTTATTATACAAGAAAGAGGAATATCATTAAACTCCTCAGTCATAGAAAACCACAAAGAAGATAAAGAAACAAAAACTTGATCCAACAAACAAGTTTACTTCTGACTTCAAAAAATCTAGCGTTTCTCTTCAACCAAATAATAAACAAAATAGCTGTCTGATATTATTATACCAAGGAGTGTTCGATCTTATCAATGTGTTTCAAGATCCCAGCCCTCTGAGCCAGTGCTCTTCCAGACAGTCTCAGCTAAATGGGTCTCCCTTAAAGAACCAATCAATCGGTGCTTTAATCTCCCCACCCTCACATTTTCATCACACAATAAGTGACTGTGCTACCACTTCCTTCAATGCAAACCACCAACCAGAATTAAAGATGGTTCATATGGACCCATGAGTTCATAATTCACTTGCCCAATGGCTGGCCCATAGATTCCAATGGCAGAAAGATTCTGCTACAGAAATTGAAGGCCAAAACTCCAACAAACATATTAAATGGCAAAGCTACAGAGAGATAGCATTTGCAATTCCAGATATCAACTTCGAATTCGACACAAAATTGATACGGAATTATTGAGTGTGGGTTTAACCTTCAGCGAGGTTTGGTTATAAACAAATGGACCAGCCAACTCCGCTTTGTAAATTTACACTAGTTTTCTCAAACTCGGTACGAATCTAACTAAACATGATGAAAAACAACGATGCTAAGTATGAATTGCATGGATTTTGGTACGACATGAATCGGACACATTAAAAGCCGTACACTGAGGTGACAACAAAGATGGTCAAAGAGTTAAGCAGAATGTGATGAAACTAGAGCTATTATAATCAGAAAAGCTCCACTCAACTAAATGCAAACCTCCAAAGTCCAAACCACTCGCCGACAGAGACTAATATTGTTTTAAGAAATCAAAATAGTTGACTTATAGCTTGCAATATGGCCCTCGAGAAAAGGATAGAACATAAAGATCATAGGAAATTAAAATCTCTCTTTTTTTTTTGTTTAAATGGTCAAGACATGCCTCGACTAATTCCCTCTCTGGTCTAATTAGACTATCCACGCCGAGACTAAAATATCCATGTACGATAAATCTCTCATGACTTGACTCTAAGAAATTATTAAGATTTAAATTCATAACGTCTGAATTTACGGTTCGTTTCTGTTATCACTTGCACTACCTCCAAGGTTTATGTGAAAAGTCTTCAAGGGTTTGACAAATGGGTAATATCTCAAGAGCACATATAGTTTTGTCATCTGTGATCATTATCAACAGATAAGATGCATTCATTATATGCAGAAAGGCTAATCAGGCAGCCGAATAGTCGGCAGCAAACAACAGAAGCAAATGCCATCTCTGCAGTTTTCTAAAGCTCTGGACTTACCCTCTTCTTAATCACTAGAGAGTATATGTTTGATGAAATCTGTCAATCTCCCACCCTTGTGTGAAACTAGTTTGACATAATCAATTACTAAATAAACACCTAGTTCTGATCCTAGCAGATTCCAAAACTTTGGTAGGAATCTGATGATGCTTCCCTGGAAACCACAATAACAGATACTACGGAATCTATTAGGTACATAATGGTTAATCAGATGATGCTCTCATGAAACAAATAATCGGGCTTAGTTAGAGTAACAACAATCAAGTACGGGTCCATCAATCGCGACTCATTCCCTCCACAGGGTAATTACAAAAGCATCATGACATCTTTCGACACTAAATGGGAGGGAACAGCAATTGATATGAAAAAAGTTGAAAGCAGAACCAACAAACAATATGTAACCCAAAATTTTTGTACAGAAACGTGATCAAGTACAGTGACCTAAATTATGATACAAGAACTAACTACATTAGGATGACTGTAAAAATGGCAAACAGAGGGTTTAAATGAACAAATAGAAAAACCCTAAAGGGATATATGAAGAAATTAACAAAAGAAAACTCTTCTCATCCTGTGATTTACATAAAACAAAGCCTTACAGATCCCGTCGGCATAACGGACAAGAGCCATGCCTCACCAGCCACATGTCAATGCAAGGTAGGTGAAACATGTGATGGCAATGGGGCAAACTTCTAACAGTCTCTCCAAGCTGGAAGTCCTGAGGATACATAATAACAAACACCATTTACATGAGCTTATTCACAATCAATTCAAGTCAAATCTGTCTAAGCACAGTCAAGTGAATGAGATGAAAACAAAAAATCTGCAAGTACCTGAAGGCACACTGAACAAGAGACTCTCTCCCCAGAAGTATCCACATTGTTATTCTCTGTAACTACAATCTTTGGGATCTTCTCAACTGAATCTCCAGGGAGACCTTTCGCCCCTCCAATGTCGAAAATGTTGGGGATCTCCTCGAAACTTGTTTCAACAGCTCCCATCTGATTAATAAACATAATCTATAAGCAAATGAAAGAAAGATTTGACCTTGTTTATCAAAACATAAGGCAATTTGGTTGCAAATTACCTGACTTTGCACTGCACTTAGCATGGCCGGACCAATCCGTTCACGAACAAGTCTACCACTTAAAAGGCTTACAATGACATCAATCTGCAATAGATAGGTTTCATATAATTAAAATTAAGCTACATTTGAATCGCCAAGCTAAGAATTTAGGGTCAAAGCAAAACAATGGTTTGTGTATCACCACTGTCCATGCTTCAGAATTAATACACTAATCTACCGAGACATAAGCATATAGTCAAGAGGGGTGAAAAGTGAAATCGCTAACCAAGTAGAGGAGACACCCGATTCCGGATTCATCTGTTTGCCATAAGAGTAGCGAAGATTCGAAAACCTCGATGGAGAAAACAGCTCCTGAGATGGCGCCAACTGCAGCCCCTCTAACAAACCCGCTTTCAGTCTCTTGGCCTATTAATGCACCAGTCATGGCTCCTAGTAAGGTACCCACTGCAAGTTAACAAGACCAATCGCTTCATGAGTTCAATTACAACCATAAATTCCAAAGAAAATGCAGCCACTCAAGCTGCAATCAAACAAGATTTTCTGTGATTATATGTCTATTTGAACAATGTAACGAATATATATAAACAAAATCTTTTGTTCATGAACAACTCGGTTTAATCATAACTCAAAATTCAACAAAACAGTGGTTTACATCTCTGAATCTCAAAAGTTCAATTTTTTTCATTCTAATTTCTGCATTATTAAAAAAAAAATGAAAGCAGTGCCCTAATTGGACAACACCCATGAACGCAGAGCCCTAATATGAAGAATAAACACATCTATATTCAACAAAAGTTGATGATTGTAGAAAAGCACAAAAAACAAATTCCAATTTACATCAAACCCACGTCACAAAAACATATACAGATCGAAAATCAATGGCAACTTATCAAATAAAGCGACAAATATGGATGAAAAACAACAAGGGGGTAATACAGGGGAAGAGAAGGATACGAACAAGAAATTGAAGGAATCAAGAATGAAAATACACACCTAAGGCGAAGAAGAATGTGAAGATCGCAGAGAACACATTCCCAATAATCGCAGAAACCGCATATCTGAAAAACTCTTTAACCTTATCAACCAAAACCCCAAATGAAAATGAAGATGTAGATGACGATGAAGGCAAAGCACGAGATGGGTATGCATAGAACTCCATTGTTAAGCCTTTCCAATTGAAAATCTCCCCAAAATAGTTGTTTTCCGATCTAAATATTGGTTGGTTAGTTCAAGCCTTCAAGGACAAACCCATATAAACCATGTATAGATACACGCGTGTGTGTAATGTTAGATATATAAAGCGAGGAGGTAGGAGCTATGTGTATGCCTTAGTCGTTAAGAGAAGGTGAAAAGAAACCACATAAACCAACTAGCATTTATAGCTCTCGCTCTCTCTCTCTCTCTCTCTCTCTCTCTCTCCTAGATCAAAGAAAATTCAAGCCTTGTAATTAATTTTTTCCAGGAAAATTTGAACAAATATAAGCGTGTTGTTTGATGGTTTAACTCGTCCACAAGAGTTCACATGACAAATATTCAACTTTCTACCACTTGCTCTGTCTCTAGAAAATTTGGGTCTTGGACTTCTGGCGGACAGATATTTTGTCCTTGGGTAGGGGTCCATGATGAGTTATAAAACAGTTGTACGAACTAGGACTCCTCTTCCCTTACTCATAGCCTAGTGGGTTGGGATCAAAGGTGTAACTCATCCATGCCCTACTCTGACATCTCGTTTGGATTAAACCTCCTATTCAATGTTCAGAATATACGGTAAAACTTTAATCTCAGTCTCAGCATCTGTACAAGATAATCTTTTGTAGATAAATTAATTATTATTTATGTCTGAAGGTATTGAATAATAAAAAATAATAAATATATTTATATTTATATTTAAAATTAAATCACAAATATAGAGAAGAAATAAAAAAATTTAAACATCAATTTATAATAGAGATGAGAGATGATGGACGACAATGATAGTGGTAGGAGACAATGATGGTTTTAGTGACAACAACGATTGTGGTGGTGGGGCGTGGTGATGGTGGAGGCGGTGGTGGTAGTGGTGGCGGTGGCGGTGGTGACGGTGGTGACGGTGGCGATAATGACAGTGGTGGTGGGGGGTGGGGATTAAGGTGGTGGTGGTGGTAGTGGCGACAATGTTGGTGGTGGCGAAGACAGTGGGCGATGGTGGTGGCGTTGGCGGCAACGGTGGTGATGGTGGTGGTGATAGACGTAGTAGTAGGGCGATTTCAAATACTATTTATTTTTAAAATATTTATAACAAATAATTTTCTAAAAGTACTATTAAAAAGTCACTTCAAACACACCCTTAGGGACTCCTATTTTTCATATTAAATTTAGGATGTTAATATTAGCCGTTAAATTAATTTTAAAATAAAATTTAATACAATTTCAACCACGATAGCAAAAGTCATTTTGTTTGTCCTTTTGAGATTTGAATTGTAAGCTACTTTATTATATAGATAGTTATTGTCTGTACCTAAAGGCACAAACTAATTAAAAATGATAAACAATAAATATATTTGTATTCATATTTAAAGTCAAATCACAAACATAGAGAAGAGATAAAAAAATTTAAGCATCGATTTGTAGTGGGGGTGAGAGGTGGTGGACGGTAGTGATGGTGGTAGGAGACGGTGATGGTTGTGGTGGGTAACAATGACTGTGGTAGCGGTAGTGGTGGGTAGCGACAATAGTGGTGGCGGTGGCGATGGTGGTGACAACGACAGCGGTGGTGGTGGTGGTCGGGGGCGCTCATAGTGGCAACGACAATGGTAGTGGTGATAGTGGTGGCAGCGGTAGTGGTGGTGGTGATGACGGCGGCAATGGCTGTGACGGCGGCGATGGTGGTAGTAGAGATAGTGGTGAGACAATTTCAAACACTATTTTTTTTAAAGTATTTATGATAAATAATTTTTAAAAATATTTTTAAAAAGTCACTCAAAACATATCTTTAGGGTCTATTTTTCCTATTAAATTTAGAGTGTTAATATTAGCCGTTAGATTAACTTTAAAATAAAATTTAAAATAAAAGTCATTTTGTTTATATTTTAAAATTTAAATTGTAAGCTACTTTATTATATAGATATGCAGTACCGAAAGACAATATTCCTGAATATACGAAATAATTTATATGTATATTCATTTTACGAATTAAGACAATCAAATAGGCATTTTTTTTTCTTTCTTTTAGGTTGTTGCAATAGATATGTTTGAATTTATTTTCATATCTTTTTTAATCCATATTCCATTCTTTTTGTAATTGATTTTTTATCGGAAAAAAAATGGTCATTGAAAAATGACCCTTTTTTGGCTATGGAAAGAACTTGTGGTTCGGATATTGTTATTCTCACAAAAAATAATTTTAGAAAAAAAATCAAATGATGTGATCTATACATATAAGCAAAATTTTAATTCTACATATATAAAAATATGACAAAAAGAACGATTATATTAATGTCGATCTTATTTTTTGGTCAATCTAGTATTATTCTTTATAACACTTTATTAATTTAATTTATAAAATATTAAAGATTAATCACATATGATGAAGGCAATTTATATTTTTTGTATTTCCCAAAGCTTTGTGGATTTCCAATCATTTTTTGTCTTCTTGTTGGTCTTCCTCCATCTATATCTGCCATGAGTGGATTTGAACAGAGTACGTGTTTGATCAAGTAATAAAAGTGTTACAAAATTTAGGGTAAATTCTTATTGATTGTATCGCAAAATTTAGGGTAAGCCATTGATAAAATAATTCTCCCACAAAAAAAAAATGTTTTCTTTGTTAATAAAAAAACAAATCTTGTTGTGAATAATCCAAAATTGAGAATTCTCCATATGCAAAATCAAAATTACGGATATCGCATTGCAAAATTTAAGATAAAGTATTGATAAAATATCTCTCCCCCAAAAAGTATATTTTATTTGCTAATAGAAAACATATTTTGTTGCGAATAATCAAATGTCAAGAAAATTTTCATACATAGAATCAAAATTATTGACATCGTTTTTGCTTTTTTTACAAAAAAAAAAAAAAAAAAACCCTTTAAACAATGTATTAACTTCTCTTCAGCATTAGTACATTGTCTAGAATATACAGTGAAATTTTAATTTTAATCTCGTCATCTGTGCAGTAAAATCTCTCACAATAGTTGTGTAATACTAATTAACAATACTCTTGAATATATAAAGTGACATATTTACATATTTATTTTACAAATCAAGAGACCGAATGTGTATGTTTTTTTATTTTCCTTTATTTTTGATTGTTGCAATGGTCAATTTTGAGAAAGTGAATCGTCTCTATCACACTTCAATGTCCTAACTCTCGCATGTCAAAAAAGTCTTTCCCTTAGTTTGAAGTTTTTTTCTTAAGGTCCGTCCGTACAGTTCAAGAATGTTAATGTGAAAACCAAACTAGCAGAACAACATACATACGCCAATATATTTGAATTTACTTTCATTTGTTTTTTGGTACATTTTTCATTCTTATTATAATTGAATTTTTATTGGGATAAAAGTGGTAATTGAAAAATTACCCTTTTCTGCTGTGGGAAGAACTTATGATTCGTATATTGTTATCCAGACAAAAAATAAAATTTTTTAAAAAAAAATCAAATGATATGATCTGAACATATAAGCAAAGTTGTAATTCTATACGTATGAAAATATGAAAAAAAGAATAATTATATTCATGACACATTTTTTGATTTTACTCTTTGATCAGACTAATATTATTCTTTGTAACCCTTTAGTTTAATTTATAAAATACTAAAATTTAGTCATATACGACATATTTTTGTAATTTACAAAGCCTTGTGGATTTTCAATCATTTTTTGTCCTCTTGTTGGTCTTCATCTATATCTACCCTGAGTGGATTGGAAGAGATGACGTGTCAGATCAAGTGGAATCAGTCTAAGATGGTGTACCAAGTAAAAGTATTATAAAATTTCGGATAAATTCTTTTAATTGTATTGCAAACTTTAGTATAAGTCATTAATAAAATATTTCTCCCACAAAAAAACATCTTTTATTTATTAATTAGGGGTAATCCGTGTCTTAAGACACGGTGCAATATAAATAATTTTGAGAGGAATGTTGATGACCGTTAGATGAGTCTATTTGAAATTACAGATAAACTTATTAAAGTCTGTCATGTTTTATATTATAAATTTAGATATAAAATATATTTCATTGCGAATAATCAAATATCGAGAAATTTTTCATACGTAGAATTGATATCAATTTTTTTTTTGTGACAGAAAGGATTCTCGTATTTTTCATACGTATAATCAAAATTATTGATATCGGGTTTTTATTTTTGTTTACAAAAAGAAACCTCCTAACAATGTACTAAATACAACCACAAAAGTGGTATTTAAGTTGCAATATATTGCTATAGAAGGATGTTGACAAAAAATCACAACACTTTCTTATCATGAAAACCTACCCCCTAGTTGTCTACTTTAGTGACACCAAATTAAGTTGCAACACATTGAAAGACTAATAATCATCAAAGATTGAGGCATCTCAACCCATGTTTATTCCTTTCTAAAACTTTGACCATCTTAATTTGTATTATTTTGATCTTTACATAAACGAATGGTTAAATTTTTGATAGAATAATTATGTGTTGGACACACGATATCGTTTCGTCAATTATCTGATTAAGAACTAAAGTGATACGGATTGAATATTTTAAAAAATAAATTTACAAAATTGAGAGAATGAGAATTAAACTGACCAAAAATACATATTTTAAAGACAAAAAATACTATTTATCTTTATTTTTTATTTTTTTTTGGTTATCTCCATCGAAATCTACCATGAGTGGATTTGAAGAGATAACTTGTGTGATTTAAGTAGATTGACCTAAGTTGAAGTTTACAAAGCAAAGTATCACAAAATTTAGGATTAGTTACATCGATTATATCATAGAACTAGTTTATTGTCTGTGCCTGAAGGTACAGAGTAATAAAAAATAATAAACAATAAAAATATTTGTATAATATCCAAAATCAAATCATAAAAATAGAAAAGAGATAAAGAATTTTAAACATCGATTTATAATGAGGATGAAAGGTGGTGAGCGACAGTGGTGGTGGTAGGAGACAGTGATGGTTGTAGTGGGTGGCAAT